TCAGACAGTTTATCTTTACTGAATAAACTTCTTATACATTTCAAAGCAATGGACCCAAACATTGAACAATTTGCAAGGATTGAACAGATGGCGCACGATGTGTTTTGTCCATATCGTGAAATTTATGAAGAAAAAAAGAAACATACAATTCAGACAAAGCTCACCATGTTTATGAAAAAACCAATTCCGGTAACCCCAATTGCTGCCTCAGATGACGACATCAACGATCAGCAGCCAAGCACCAGCAGCCAATAAAATGTTTCATACATGTTTATATATTTTGATATGTTTTGCAATTGGGAAAATGTTTTGTATGGTATTTTTTACACCTGTATTTTGTATTTTGGTATGCACCTGTATTTTGTAATTTTGTATGTTTTGCAAATATTAAACCAGTTGTACTGGTAATGCAGTGTTTTACTTAAACCTGACGAATGTAAAAATACAGTAAGAAACAAAATGGTGTAGAGATGATACAAATGGCATAAAATGAACAAAGAAAATTATGATATATAACAATAATGAAAGAAAATTATGATAAAATATGACTTAAAGATTTTTTAACATCATTTCACAGTACTGTACATATAGCCTACTCAACTTACGACCAAATCGTGCTACGACCAGTCTGTTGGAACCAATCGTGGTCGTAAGTCGAGCACTGGCTGTAAATTACTTTGTACAGTATGGCCATTTTCACAATATTGATTCTTCCTAACCATAAACATGGAATGTTTTTCCATTTGTTTGTGTCATCTCTTATTTCCTTGAGCAGTGGTTGGTAGCTCTCCTTGAAGAGGTCCTTCACATCCCTTATAAGTTGTATTCCTTCTCTTTGTAGCAATTGTGAATGGGAGTTCACTCATGATTTGGCTCTCTGTTTGTCTATTATTGGTGTATAGGAATGCTGGTGATTTAGCACATTAATTTTGTATCCTGAGACTTGGCTGAAGTGGCTTATCAGCTTAAGGAGATTTCAGACTGAGATGAGGGGGTTTTCTAAATATACAATCATGTCATCTGCAAACAGACAATTTGACTTCCTCTCTTCCTATTCGAATATCCTTTATTTCTTTCTCTTGCCTGATTGCCCTGGCCAGAACTTCCAATACTATGCTGAATAGGAGTGGTGAAAGAGGGCATCCTTGTCTTGTGTGAGTTTTCAAAGGGAATGCTTCCAGCTTTTGCCCATTCAGTATGATATTTACTGTGGTTTGTCATGAATAGCTCTAAGTATTTTGAGATACGTTCCATCAATACCTAGTTTATTGAGTGTTTTTAGCATCAAGAGGTGTTGAATTTTATCGAAGGCCTTTTCTGCATCTATTGAGATAATTCTGTGGTTTTTGTCATTGGTTCTGTTTATGTGATGGATTACTCTTATTGCTTTGCATATATTGAACCAGCCTGGCATCCCGGGGATGAAACAGAGATGATTGTGGCAGATAAGATTTTTAATGTGCTGCTGGATTCCGTTTGCCAGTATTTTATTGAGGATTTTAACATAGATGTTCATGAGAGATATTGGCCTGAAATTTTCTTTTTTCTGTTGTGTCTCTGCCAGGTTTTGGTATCAGGATGATGCTGGCCTCATAAAATGAGTTAGGGAGGAGTCCCTCTTTTTTTATTGTTAGGAATAGTTTCAAAAGGAATGCTACCAACTCTTCTTTGTAGCTTTGATAGAATTTGGCTGTGAATCCATCTAGTCCTGGGCTTTTTTTGGTTAGTAGGCTATTAATTACTGTCTCAATTTCAGAACTTGTTATTGGTCTATTCAGGGATTCAACTTCTTCCTGGTTTAGTTTTGGAAGAGTACATGTGTCCAAGAATTTATCCATTTCTTCTAGATTTTCTAGTTTATTTGCATAGAGGTATTTATAGTATCTCAAATGGTAATTTGTATTTCTGTGGGATCAGCAGTGATATCCCTTTCATCATTTTTTATTGTGTCTATTTGATTCTTCTCTCTTTTCTTCATTATTAGTCTGGCTAGAGGTCTATTTTATTAATCTTTATGTATATAATATAAAATTAATATGTATATTTATATCAAACTTTTATATATGTATATAAAATTAATATTTATTATATAAAATGTATCTACATTTATCTAAAATAAATATATGTATATAAAATAAATATATATCTATAGAAACTAAATATATATTTATATAAACTAGATATATTTCAAATAAATATATTTTTAAAAATACCACTGATTTTTAAAAATTTATTTTTAAAAATATATTTATTTGAAACATATATTTATATAAACTAGATATATTTCAAATAAATATATTTTTTAAAATTTATTTTTAAATATATGTAAATATTTAAATATTTATATTATAAATATATATTATACATAATAAATATATAATATATATTTTTATAACTTAAATACATATATTTATATATTGTATATCTATAATATATATATATTTTTTCTCCTTTAAGTTATTCTATGGGTATCAAAATTGTATGACATATTTTTGGTCAAGTTGTTTCCATTAAAAAGTACTGATTTTACATAAAAAGAACTAAAAACAGAAGCACATGATATATCAACAGATGCCATAAAGGCTTTCAATACTAATAAAGTCAACATCCCTTTATGCTAAAAACCCTCAACAAACTGGGCATTAAAGTGATATACCTCAGAATAAGAGCCATCTGTAACAAAACCACAACCAACATTATGCTGAATGGGCAAAAGCTAAAGCATTTTCCTTGAGAACCAGAAAAAGACAAGGATACCCACTCTGACCATGCCTATTCAAGATAGTGCTAAAGTCCTAGCCAGAGCCATCAGGCAAGAGAAAGAAATAAAAGGCATCAAAACAGGAAGAAAGGAAGTCATACTATCTCTCATCCCAGATGATATAATTCTATACGTGGAAACCCCATAGTCTTTGCCCAAAGGCATCTAGAACTGATAAACAATGTCAGCAAAGTTTCAAGATACAAGATCAATGTACCAAAGTGAGAGAAAAATCAAGAACGTCATCCTATTCAAAACAGTCACAAAAAGAATATAATACCTACGACTACAGCTAACCAGTAAGGTGAAATATTTCTACAAGTATTATAAAACAGTGCAGAAATAAATTAGACATGACATAAACAAATGGAAAAACATTTCGGGATCTTGGATAGGAAGAATCAATATTGTTAAAATAGCCATAGTGCTCAAAGCAATTCACAGATTCAATGCTATTCTTCTCAAACTACCAGTGACATTTTGCACAGATTTAGGAAAAAAAAAAAAAAAAACTCTAAAATTTACAAGGAATGAAAAAAGAGCCTGGATAGCCAAAGCAATTCTAAGTAAAAGGAATAAAGCTGGAGTCATCACACTACCAGACTTCAAACTATACTATAAGGCTACAGCAAACAAAATGGCATGGTTGTGGTACAAAAATAGACACATAGACCAATGGAACAGGTTAGAGAACCCTGAAATAAAGCCACACACCTACAATCATCTGATCTTCAACAAAGCTGACAAAAACAAGCAATGGGGAAAGGACTCCCATTCAATAAATGGTACTGTAATAACTGGCTAGCCACATGCAGAAGATTGAACCTGGATTCCTTCCTTTCAACATATATAAAAATCAACTCAGGGTGTATTAAACACTTAAATGTAATACCTAAAACCATGAGAAACCTAGAAAAAAACCTAGGAAATACCATTTTGGACACAGGCCCTGGCAAAGATTTCATGATGAAGGCAACAAAAGCAATCCAAAAAAAAAAAAAAAAAAAAAAGACAAGTGGGACCTAATTAAACCAAAGAGCTTTTGCACAGCAAAAGAAATTATCAACAGAATAAACAACCTACTGAATGGGATAAAGTATTTGCAAACTACGCATCTGACAAAGGTCTAATATTCAGATTCTATAAGGAACTTTCACAAGCAAAAAACAACCCCATTAAAAAATGAGCAAAGGACATGAACAGATACTTATCAAAAAAAAAAAAATAGATGCAGCCAAAAGGCATATGAAAACATGCTCAACATCAGTAATTATTAGAGCAATGCAAATGAAAACCACAATGAGATATTCTCACACCAGTCAGAATGGCTGTTACTAAAATGTCAAAAAATAACAGATGCAAGGTTGCAGAGAAAAGGGAACATTTATACACTACTGGCGGGAATGTAAAATTAGTTTAGCCATAACAGAAAGCAGTTGGAAATTTCTCTAACAATTTAATACAGAAGTACCATTTGATCCAGCAAACCTATTGCTGGGTATAAACCCAAAGGAGTATTAAATCATTCTACCATAAAGATACATGCATGCATATGTTCATCACAATACTATTCACAATAGTAAAGACATGAAAGTAACCCAGATAACCATCAGTGGTGGACTGGATAAAGAAAATGTGGCACATATACATCATGGAATTCTACACTGCCATAAGAACAGAATCATGTCCTTTGCATTGACATCGATAGAGCGGGAAGCCATTGTTCTAAATGAACTAACACAAGAACAGAAAACCAAATACTGCATGTTCTGATTTACAAGTGGAAGCTAAGCATTCAGTACACATGGACACAAAGAATGGGACAATAGACAATAGACACTTGAGCCTACTTAAGGTGGAGAGTGGGCAGCGAATGAGGATCAAAAACTACCTATCTGGTACTATGCTTATTACCTAGGGGAAAAAATAATCTGTACATCAAATCCCCATGACACATAGTTCACCCATGTAACAAATCCACACATATACTTTCTCAACTTAAAAGTTGGAAAAAAGAAAATAGGGAGTACTGATTTTAAAAACTAATAACTTAAAACTGTCACATGCAAAAAAGAAAAATAAGGAAACCCAAAATGGTCCTCAAAACATTCTCCTTTTCTTTAGAAGGTTTTGTGATGCATTGTTATCATTAACCAGTCTTTTACTATTAAATGTTCAACTGAAACAAACCATTCTGGGACCATAGTTCTACCACTGATTAACAGTGGGGTGGCAGGTATTAGAGATAATATACATTTAGCCTTCTGAGTTTTCTGGGAATATCTGTTGACCTTGCCAGCTCCAGCAGCATTCTGGTCCACTGCCTTGATGACATCCACAGCAATTGTCTGTCTCGTATCACAAACAGCAAAACAATCCAGAGGAGAATAGTCAGATAAGCTCTCAACACACACGGGCTTGCCAGGAATCATATACACAATGGCAGCATGACCAGACTTCAAGAATTTAGGAGCATCTTTCAGCTGTTTATCAGAACAGTAATCAATCACTTCCTTCATCTCAGCAAACTTGCAAGCAATGTGAGCTGTGTGACAATCTAGTACAGGGTCATAGCCAGTACTGACTTAACCTTTATGGTTCAGGATAATCACCTAAGCAGTGAAGCCAATTACTTGGTTATTTTTGCTGTCACCAGCAATGTTGCCATGATGAACATCTTTAACAGACAAATTCTAGACAGTGAGGTCCAAATTGTCCCCAGAAAGAGCTTCACTCAGAGCTTCATGGTACATTTCAACAGACTTTACTTCAGTTGTAACATTGACTGGAGCAAAGGTGAGCACCAGGCCAGGATTGAGAATACCAGCTTCCATTTGGCCACCAGGGACAGTAACCATATCACCAATTTTGTAGACACTCTGGAGAGGCAGAAGAAAGGGCCTGTCAGTTGGATGAGTTGGTGGTAGGATGTGGTCCAGAGTTTCAAGCAGCATGATTCTGCTCACATTGCCATCTTTACAGGTAACTTTTCACCACTAGATCTAAGGCATATTAGCATTTGGCTCCAGCATATCGTCACCATTCCAAGCAGAACTTGTCACACATGCATCTGTGTTGGGGTTGTAGCCAATTTTCGTTTTTCTTTTTTTTGTACCTATGCCACTTCTTCCAATAATGGAAGCGAGTTTCTTAATGTAAATGCACACTTCCTTAATAATTTCTGCACATTTCTTCTGAGCGTAGGGTGGCTCAGTAGAATCCATTTTGTTAACACAAATGTTTCACTGTTTCACACCCAGTGTATAAACCAGAAGGGAATGCTTCCAGGTTTGCCTTTCCTTGGAGATACTAGCTTGAAATTCACCAACACCAGCAGCTAGCATCAGGACAGCACAGTCAGCCTAAGATGTGCCCATAATCATGTTTTTGATAAAGTTTCTGTGTGTTGGGGCATCAGTAAATCATGTAGTACTTGCTCATTTCAAATTTCCACAGGGAGATATCAATGGTGACACCACATTCACACTCAGCTTTAGGTTTCTCTAGGACCCACGCATACTTGAAGAAGCCCTTTCCCATCTCAGCAGCCTCCTTCTCAAAGTTTTTAATGGTTCTTCTGTCTACCAGATGTCCGGTAGTAGTGGGGTTGCCTGAATCTTGGTGTCTAATGACGGTGATGCTGATATGAGTCTTTTCTTTTCCCATTTTGGCTTTTAGGTGTGTGACATGGTAAAAAACCCATAAAACTGCATACCTAAACCATACCTTGGCTTTCTGTTCAAACTGCTCTCTGTAACCCTGATGTGACAGGCAAGCAGTCCAAACCCATGCCAAACCCACAGAGCCTTGCCCCGGAGGCCGCTCCCTGCCCCGGGGACCCCTAGGGGAGGCACCCCCTGAGACTTTCCAGGGCCCCAGGGTTCCGGCCCTGTGGTGACTGGGCAACTGTGCAGCTGACGTTCACCCAAAGTTCCTCAGGATCTCAGGAACCTCCGGAGGTAAGTCAGGTCTGGAAATCGGGGGACCGGTCTGTCAGGGGCCTAAGTCAGGAGACCAGACGTGGTCATTAATCTCTGTCTAGGCAAGCCTACCATGAGACGTGAATGGAGGCTCAGGTAGTTTAGTTTGTGGTTGTCTTCCATAACCTCGGTGTGAGTGTGAGAGTGAAAGTGTATATGTGTAGTCCCACGGCTGGCAGGCTATGGGGCTTGTGCGGGCCTTCACCTGCAGTTCCACGGGGACTTCATAGGGCACAACAGTGAGTCACCCTTGCGGTGACCAGGCCCAGGGTTTATACGGGTACACCTTAGCCAAGACGCTTTGAAATATCCCTCTGGGGATGTGGCCATGCAGGCATCAGACTGGTCTCCCATCTGGGGAACACCCACCCTGTGTCCGTCTATCTCTCATGTGGTTCTGTCTTTACTGTAAGCCCTCTAGTTTCCTGAGGCAGTTACTAGCTGATACACAGTGGTTTAGACCTGTTAATCTTGAGGTGGATAATATTCTCCATTGTCTAAGTGGCCACTGACGTCAGGTAACTCTGATTGAGTTTATACCCCTGGAAATCATTCTGTTCTCTTTCCTTTTCTTCTTCTCATTCTATCGTTCAGGCCTCATTCTTCCTTTTTCATGTCTGAGAGAAAATTCTGCCCCCGACAACTTGGGTGTAGTTTTTTTCTCTGTCTTAGGAAATCAAACGTTAAATAAAATACCACCAGCCCTCTTCACCTGTTTAGGGTGAGAAAGGAGTAATTGTCTCTTCTGTCAAAAGAAAATTCGGTGTTATTATGGGTGTTGCCCAAGCACTCACCACTGGTCAGCATATTAGCATCATCGCAACCGTTGGGAAGTTGGCTGCCATGATTTAATAGAGACTGATCGGCAAAACCTTTGCACTCTCTTAAAAGCGCAGTTGCCGGGTGTGGTGGCTCAAGCCTGTAATCCCAGCACTTTGGGAGGCCGAGGAGGGTGGATCACGAGGTCAAGAGATCGAGACCATCCTGGTCAACATGGTGAAACTCTGTCTCTACTAAAAATACAAAAAATTAGCTGGGCATGGTGGCAGGTGCCTGTAATCCCAGCTACTCAGGAGGCTGAGGCAGGAGAATTGCCTGAACCCAGGAGGCGGAGGTTGCGGTGTGCCAAGATTGCGCCATTGCACTCCAGCCTGGGTAACAAGAGCGAAACTCCGTCTCAAAAAAAAAAAAAAAAAAAAAAAAAAAAAGCACAGTGAATTCAAAATTCACACCCAGCAAACCTCTTGGTTCACCTATTCTGTCATTTCCCAACATTCCCTATGTCTCTAAATGCCAAAATATATCTAAAAAAGGATCATGCCCGAGAGGCATTAAACCTTTCCAAGACTTACTATGATCCCTTTTGGAGCTTCTTAAGAGAATGCTATCTTTACCCTTGGCCCCTTCCACCTGTTCCCTTGGCCCGTATCAGAGACAGACCCGTTAATTTAATTATACTTTCCCGACAAGATCTAGTTGTAGATGCACTCTTAAAACTGGTGCTGAGGAGAGACAGAGAAAGGGAAAAGAAAAAGACAGAGAGAGAAAAGAGAGAAAGACAAAGAGAGGGGAGGGAGAGGGGGAGAGAGACAGAGAAAGTAGGAAGAAAAAGAGATAAAGAGAGAGGAGAGAAAGAGAGACAGCAAGAAGTAAGAGAGATAGGGAGAGAGGAATTTAATGCTTTTTAAGGTCCCTGTGTCAAGGTGACCAAAACCCAAAGGGGCAAGGAACTCGCAGCCAGCCCAGCGTCTGTGAGCTCAGTTTTAAAACTGACACAAAAAGCATTTTTTTCTTCTCCTTTCTCTGCTGGCCACCAGCCCCACCTGGCTTTCAGGCAGGCCACACTGCCTCAGGGTGCAGTATTTGCATCCAAAATACGGCTTAAGAAAGCTTTCTGCCTACCTTTACCACAAGTGGTCTGTTAGTACAGTAGTTAAGGTATAGGGCTTGCAATTGTAAGATTGCTCGTTCAAATTCTCAGTAAAGCCAGTCTTAAATGTAAAACAAAAAATCTTCAGGAAATTCAGAAGTAGAAGGTTTTAGTACTTTATGTTTGGTATAATTTGTCTTGCTTAGGGTTAATTCTCTCTATAGCAAAACTTTTCCAGCGTGAAGGGCTGGGGCACTGCTAAGATGGTGAGATGGGGAGGGTTAGGAACCTGCTGAGATAAAAAGTTCCCCAAGGAGGTCCGACTGGCAGGCTGAAGAACTTAAGGGGGCAGCGGGGTTTTAAAATGGAGTAAAGTTCTATCAGAAGGCTCAACATCCCCTGTTCTCTGAAAAGCGCCAGGCTTTGACAGGGCTCTTAGAATCTGTACTCCAGACTCATCGCCCCACTTGGGATGATTGCCAACAATTATTACTAATTCTGTTCACCACAGTGGAAAGAAGCAGAATTAGACAGGAAGCCCTGAAAGCCATCATAGGTCCAGGGAGAAGAACAGTAAAACAACAACAACAACAAAAAAAAAAAAAAAAAGAAAGAAAGAAAAGAAAAAAGGGACCAAATTAAAAAGGTTTTTCCCTCTACCTGACCCCAATACGACGTCAACACCTTGGGGAGTCACCAGGCTCTAAACACTTCTCACCGGTATCTTTTAGCAGGGGTTAAAAAGGCGGCTAAAAGGCCTTTTTAACCTTTCAACCTCTCCAAGTTAAAAACAGTGACTCAGGGTCCGCAGGAGTAGCCGGCTGCTTTCCTGGGATGCCTACAGGAGGCTTACAGTACCTATATTCCTACAGACCCTGAGGCCCCGGAAAATCAACGGGCCATTAACTTGGCCTTCATCTCCCAGTCAGCCCCAGATATCAGGAAAAAGTTACAGAAACTAGATAAATTCCAGGAAATAAATTTAACCCAATTGCTGGAAATTGCCCAGAAAGTTTTCAATAGCAGGAATACTCCTGGAGCCATCCAAAACAAAAAAGTTACTAAGGCAGTAATAGCAGCCCTTCAGGAGACATAAGTCATTCTACAAGGGCAGGGGACCTTGCAAAATGAACCCCAGGGTCCCTGGCACTCGTTAGAAGGAAACCAATGTGTGTACTGTAAAAAAGAGAAACATTAGAAAAAATAAGTGTCCCGAGAGAAAAAGATGAGTAACCGAGAGCTATTCTCAATTTAAAAGAGTCAGGACTGACGGGGCCGGGGCACTTATTTACTAAGCACCCAGGAGCCAAGGGTCACTTTAAGAGTTGGGGGCAAAGCTGTCAGCTTCTTAGTCAACACCGGGGTGGCCCACTCAGTCCTTAGCCTCTGGGACCACTATCCAGTAGAAAACAATTATCCAGGGGGCCACAGGAAAAACCACAACAAGCCCTTGAACCACCAACCAACTTGTTAATCTTAGGAACGGCACCGTCACCCACTCCTTAGTCATTCCAGAGTGCCCATACCCACTCCTAAGACGGGACTTACTTCACAAACTTCAAGCAAATATTTCTTTTGGTGAGGGTCAGGCTTGCCTCTCAATTCCTCCTCCCTTGGCTTTAAGGCCACCTCAGCAAATGCTCATCACCTGTGCTCTGTCAAATCAGTATCTTTTGCAGGAAGCTTTATCCTTAGAGGCAAATCAATCACCAACATGAGACCTCCTCCTCCAGTTCCAAGAAAATGTACCGGGAGTATGGGCTGAAACAAAGTCCCCAGGCTTGGCAAGTCACCGTACCCTAGTGGTGGTCCATCTATTGGCAATGGCAACTCCAGTCCAGGTATGACAATATCCCATGAGCCAGGAAGCCAGACGGGAAATTGCTCCACATATAACAAGACTCCTAAAAGGAGGGATCCTTGCTATCTGTAAGTCCCCCTGGAATACCCACTTGCTCCCAGTCTTAAAACCAGGCACAAAGGACGATCAGCCTGTACAGGAGTTAAGGGAGGTAAACAAATGAGTGGAAACTGTCCACCCTACGGTTCCAAATCCATATACCCTCCTGAGTCTCTTGGGCCCAAAACGCCACCATTACACTGTCCTAAATCTCAAAGATACATTCTTTTGCATCCCACTGGCCCCTGTTAGCTAGCCCATATCTGCTTTCAGACAGACTGACCCTGATACTGGGTTTCAAGGCAACTCACTTGGACAAGACTGACTAAGGGGTTCGAAAACTCCCCCACCCTGTTTGATGAGTCACTTAGCCAAGATCTTGCCACCTTCCGAGCTGGGTTTCCCAAGTGTACGCTACTCCAATACGTGGATAACTTACTTTTGGCTACAAAAACCCAGGAGGCCTGTAAAGTGACCACGCAGTCATTACTAAAAACCCTACAGACTTTGGGGTATTGGGTCTCAACTAAAAAAACCCAACTCTGCCAACAGAAGCTTACTAACCTGGGCTATATCATAGAGAAGGGTAACAAGGCACTGGCGCCCAGTCGAGTCCAGGCAGTGCTGCAAATACCTATCCCCACCACAAAATGCCAGGTTCAAAAATTCCTTGGGGCGGTGGGATATTGCAGGCTGTGGATTCTAGGATTTGCTGAGATAGCCAAGCCTCTGTATGCCTGTACAGGAGGAAATCAGCCCCTGGCTTGGACAGAAGTAGATCAACAGGCTTTTAACAAACTTAAGACTGCCCTAACCACGGCCCCAGCCTTGGCCTTGCCAGACATCTCTAAACCCTTCGATTGTTTGTACATAAAAAACAGGGAGTCGCTGAGGGGGTGCTCACCCAGACATTAGG